TTGCCCTTCTCTCTCTCTCTCTCAATATATATATAAATTTCCACGGCCGCCTGTGTAATTACAGGAAAACATCAGCGAACGATAGGCTTCTAAAGCATGAACCATCGGTTGCAAATATTTGCGCGCCAATCGAAAATTTATTTACGCAACCCACCAAAGCACCCCGGCATTAGTCGAAAGTCGATGGGGTTGCATAGTCGCAACCACCATTACAAAAACAAACATCGTCCGCAGACCTTTGCAAAATCAACACAACTCGTTTCGTTTGCACAACATCGAAAAACAAAGAAGCGAAAATATTACAGCTTCCATCTAGATCCGTAATTAGGGAATTTTGTGAATTTGCTTTGTCGATTTGTGGTTTGTTCCGAGTGCAACAGCTAGATATGTCGTGAATTGATTGTTGATGGAGATGGTTGTAAAACGTTGGAAATCCGAGTTTCGCGGAGTTCCGGAAAATCCCTTTTAAAGTCGTGACTGCCGCCGATTCAGTCGCGACGTCGCTAGGATTTGTATAAAAGCGCAACCGACGGAAAACGTCCCTCCAACCCAAACTCCTTCGACCGAACGACCGACCGCCCCCCCGGCACGAGCAAACTTTATCTCGGATACCTGCCTAAGTGGAATCGCACGTTCGGGACGTTCGCTTTTACATAAACCGGAAACCGGATAAACTCTCGAAACGCCCCGAAACTCGCATCTAATATCGAGATTAGATTTACACATTGAATGCGCGCAATAATTCAATTCAACCATTTCCATTAAATAACATTAAGAATCTATAATGGACACTTTACAATGCACAATAATTCTGACATGTATAATTAACTTGTCAATTGCCATTAACATTGAGTTGTGCAATTAAGAGTTCTTGCCTATCCGTGATGATTATGCGAATTCCCGATACAACCAACCCATCTGCATGGAGCAAAGAGCACCGAACCGTTTTATTTACTTTATGTTATCCCTGGCATATTATTAAGGGGGGGCGCGGAAGTTTTCCTTTCGCCGGAAAATTAACATTTCCCCTCAATTGGGATGCGCATTTAGAGAGGGCGAATTTCCCTTACTGCGTTGTTTTTTTTTCTCTTTTACGTTCTTTTTTTTTACGTTGTCGTCGCTGTCATCGTGTTTATTTTGTTTTCGTACAACACCCCTCCTCTGTTTTATACTCGACCCACCTTCACAGTTTTCTTCCGGTGGGGCAAAAGTTAAGGCAATCGAGGGTAAGTAAGTAAGTAAGTAAGTTTCGCACCCCCTCGAGAGATAACGGATAAGAGGAGGAGGAACAGAAGTTTTGTTGAAATAAAGAAGCGCGCTATTATTATGCGAGAAAGAAAGAAAGAAAGAAGAGAAACGCAAAAGCAACACCAAATAAGGTGCAATTAAAATGCACCCCTCCTTGTTTTTCTTCTTCTTTTGTTTCTTTTAATTGTTGGAAATTGCCGGGAAATTTAAATGAGCGCCAATTGAAAAAAAAAAACGAAACGATACATCCTTAAATGCGTTAACCATTTAAATGTTCGCAATCATTGCCAAAGTTTCTTTTATTGTTATTTATTGTTCTTCTTCTGTACTTTGTCTAATTTCGTAGGCTTTAATACGTTTAGACTTACAATTGTTTTAATTAAATTGTTATCAGTCTAAACTGAAATTTTGTAAACATTGTACTCTTTTCGTGTTTCGCTTGCGTACTTTAGAGTTGTGTGTGTTTATGCGTCTGTCTGTATCTTTTTCAATTATTCGAGTTGTTTATTTTGGTTGGATATAATGAAAATAAAGTCGCTTTAATGAGTTTCGAGAGGGTCGGAAGTTGTGTATGTGAATGCGAGTTTCGGAGAAGAGGAGGCGACTCGCCATTAGTCGGACGGTCACGTCGAAATTTTGCATTTTTAATGGGCTCACGTCCCACGCGAAAAAAGGGTTGCCATCCTCTGACGATACGATGCAACCAACCCACCACCACCACCACCTCCTAGGAGCGCTTTGATTGCACGCGCCAAGAGACAGATTTCAGTGGAGCGGTGAGGGTGGTGGTGGTGTGGGGGGTACTTCATTGCAAGCAAACAGACAACAAAAAATAAAACGGAAGAATAAAATAAATGAGGGTGCTTTGCCAACCTGCTGGAATGAAGGGGAGGAGGAGGATGAGGAAATAAATGGCCCTATCATTTCGGCGTTTATCTATATCTATTTGTATGTATTTGAATGGTTGCTGCTTGTCTCTGTATATAATACACACATACACGCACGCAGGCAGACGCAGAGAGTATGATTATTGTTGTGATATAATAAATGACAAATGGGGGGCGAAATCAATCAATAATTAATCGCGTTACTTCCGGACGTCCGATTCGATTTGGCGAGCGGCGGCGGCGGCGGGAATACTCAAAACGCGGATAAATGCCGACCGGAAAGGCGGAAGGGGGATGGTATTGGTTGTATTGGTTGTATTGGTAACCCTGCACAATATATACATATGCATTTGTCTGGCCCAAACGCCGAGCTCTCTCGTATATATATATATATATACGTTACGTGTTTGTGTGTGTGTTTTTCATCCCCCCAATTGTGGATACAATGGCCTCCCCTCAAAATAATACAGTTATTGTTGCCGGCCATTTATATTTGTGAACGTAATGATATCAGTTGCACTCGCAGCATCACCAATGAACGCAAAATGGAACGCAAAAATCGCAAAAGAAAGCAAACAAACGAAACAAGTCCGGCGAACGCCCCGGCGCATCCACCGTAAATCAGGATTAAAGCGACACACGAATTAAAGATTAATCGCGGATTTTATAACAATAACACGTATACACACACGCAATGTATATTTGTGTAACGCCGTTTTACGTTGCGTTATTACTATTCCGTAATTTATACGACCGACTGAATGTTATTTATCGCCGCCGCAATAAAACAAAAACCAATTTTTATTTCTCGCGCAACAACACTAATTGTCGCAAACAATGACACACACACATTTGTTGCAATTCGAAATTTAAAAAGAAAATAAATAGTGTTTAGATTTGTGTGTTTGAGGAGGACGGACGGACGGACGGCACGCGACGACTCTCCCAAATTTATGTCAAACGTAAAGAGGGGGGGGGGTTACGTTACGGTTACGATTTTTGCGGTTTCAGATGTTAGATCGATTCGTCGTAAACGCGTAATCCCGTTTTCGGAATCAATTTCAAGTTGAGTTTATTCGCTTCTTCTTTTCCTTCCTCCACACTCAGCATAAATATTAAATTGAATTAACGTCATTCGCCGATAAAATATCGTTTCCTTAAATTACGCTTCACCACATTTTTCACGTACGACAGACAGGTATGATTGTGAGGTGCAGCAACTTAACGTTACATTTGTAACGGATGATTAGATATGCGCTCATTAACTAATTTGATATGTTTATAAATTTCATCTCACTCTCACTCTCTCATTAGTTTGTGTATAATGGAATGAGGCGGGGTTTTATGCAAATGGGCGGCGGCTGCGAAATGTTGTTATTGGATTTGTTTGGGCGGAAAATGAAATTCCTCGAATATTGTTTCTGTACTTTCTCTCTCTCTCTCTCTCGTAAGTGAATTTTAATGCAGAGAGGAGATGAGAGGAGGTAAGGAAACGCGCCCAGAGGGTTCCGCGCGTGTAAATTTCCATGATTATACGTGTGCGTGCTTGGCTTCCATCCACGAACCATCACATCCCAAAGTTTCATTATGTACATGGTGTTGCTACATAATATATTAATCCCGATATATAAACGTTAACAAAATAAATTAAACAAAAAATAAACGACCTCAATTATTCACGAACGCGCTTCTAATTACCACATCACATTTACTGTAAAAATAACTGTATCATTTATTTATTTTTGCGTTAATTTCGTGAGAATCGATTCGCTTCGGACGAAAGACTACTGAGAAAAACGTCGAGTGGGCGGTGGAGGAGGAGGAGATATAGGATGAGAAAGGGAAGAAATAATAGCGAAATGCTATTATGAATTATGTGCTTTCCAAGGGAATCGCGTTATTACGAACTCCTTTTTCTCTTTCTCTCCCTCTCTCTTATATTATTAAAACCTCGCGTTCTTTTATTTTTTTCTATACAGTGTGCCCTTTTTCACCGAACGAAACGAAAATAAAATTTGCAGAGAAACATTTCATTCCATTTTATGCTGTCACAGAGAACAGTTGGTATTTCTCGCGTCGTCAATTCAATTTATTTTACATTTAAATTAGTTCTTATGGGAATTATAAAGAAGAATTATTTATATCTTAATATTCTAATGATATTTGCGTGTTTTTGCAATGAGTATGTTGTATGTATCGATTGACGATAGATGTCGTTGCTTTGAAATATTGTGTTTATTAGTTGGCGTTTCTGTAATTGACATATGTCTTCATTTACTTTTTAATCAAGCGATTTCGATTTGTCGAGTATATTTATGTGTGTGAGGAAGGGCGAGAGGGCGAGGGGTGTTATCATCCAATTTGTATGTGAGGAAATGAAAACGTGCGTTCCCCGAATCGAAAACTATCTCTCAATTTCCTAACGTCGCGCGCGAAAGGGGAGAGGGCAGCAACATGTGTACCCCCCACGAATGCGAGAAAAAAAAAGGCAAATTAATCCACCCCCCCTGCGTCTCTCGTTTCTCTTCATTTGCATGCAGGGTCCACCAATCCACTCCACCCCTCTCTATCTATCTACACACATATACATTTTTCGATCCTCTATTGCGCTAATCCAATCAATCGGCAATTCGATTGCGATTTTTATTGCGCCGCAATTGGGCGGAAAACGCATCGAAATCGAAATTGCAAAGTCTCCTCTCTTCCGCCCGATGGACTCTTTTTTTTTTTTTTACCGCCCCGTAACGTAACGACAATATCGAGTCAGTCAAACTCGCTGGCGATTAATTAATAATTGCGATTGTCTTTTATTTCGTTTGTTTTCTGTTTTTTGTAATAGCCTCGGGCCTCGCGCGAATAATCAATTTAGTCCTAAAACGATGGAGAAATAAAAAGACCGTAAAATAGGGGAATAAATGAAAGTCGAGGTAAAAAAGACTTGGGACGTCTGTCTCTTCGTTCCGACACAACATAATTTTAATCCAACTAGCGTTGGAAGAGTGAAGGAGGCCATGAAATAAAGAAAAGACGAGGAATACGAGAGCAAGAGCAGAGCGGCACTCGATGAGATCCCATTTTCACTTTACACACACACATACCCTTATTGCATCCGCCCTTCTTCCACGTTCACCTCGTCTACTAAAATTACATACGCTGTTCTATCTCATCTTCTACTTTTTATCTCTTTTTCCTTTCTTTTGTCTCCAATTTCACCTTTCACATAACGTCCACCAGGTGGCCATCATAACTGTCAATTACGGACAATTCATGTTATCCGCAGGATAATCGTTAATGTTATTACAGAGAGAAACCTTTCGAACGTTTTTCTATTCAATTTCTTGCACTTTAATGCTTTAACTGCAATTATTAAAAGAAATAATGGTAAACGGCCACGAAGGTCGTTAGATTAATGTTCCGTAGATGGCGTCGCATTAAACGTCATTATTTATCTCGCGTTTAATCCGCGCCGGATAATAATATTCGGGGTTTAAAGTTGAGCCTCGAGTGTCTTTCATTATTTCAAAGCCGCGAGGATTAGATTTTTCTCTTTATTTTTGGGCTGTTGCTGTTGTTTTTGTTGTCTGTGTGTTTTTTTTTTAATAAAACGTAATTTATGGGATGCCGACGTCCACACAAAGAAAAAAAACAAACGAAGCAAAAGAAAGGTCAAGACTGTGCGAGCGGTGGGTGGAATGAGGCACCATGAAATATGCACGATGCGACGATGGGGCGGGCGGTTGTTAGGGCCGCAAATCTTTATAAATGCGTAATTTTCGTGAAATGCTGCTGCATGTTTGTTTGCGTGTCCGTCGACACTTTGCATTTGCATGAGAAATGACCGTGAAGGAGGACACACATCACATCGCTGCAAGCGGTGGCGGCGGCGGCGGTCAGCTTTTCGGAAATCGCGTGGGGCGCATACTTTACGAGCGTACGCAAATCTTGTTGTCATTTCTGTATGCTTTTTTTCTTCGATATTTTGCATCCGTAATGCATATTGTTTCCCATATCCCATCAACTTGTTTCGTAAGTAGGCGATGGAATTGGGGGAGGGGGATGTAGTTATGGTAATTGGCGGAGGAACGGACGGACGGAGACGCTAACCTCCTCCCCTTCCCTCACGATTGGATCCCAGTTGGCGCCTCGCGATAATTAATATTTAATTCCCTTCAGTGATTATCCGGCAGTTTTCGTGCTCATCATCAGCAGGAATAATCCAATTCCCCCCGGTTGCGCATCCCATCAAAATTATCCCTCCGAAAACGCACGGCTTACACAAATTCCAGAGAGAGAAAAAAATATAAATATATATATAAAACAAAAAGAAAATAGAATAAAAATATAGAATACAGATAGCCTTCACTTCACCCTCCACCATTAAAATTTCCATGCAAAATAATTGCGAAAAATAATAATCCGCGCGGCGCAAATCATATTATTTGCGTTTCGCATTAACGGAAAATAATTTCGCGCAAAATAAAACGAAAACTAAAATAATGATAAATAATCGAAAACGGACGGCCATAATCTACTGAAATCCGAATGTGTACACCACTTATTAATGGTTGGAAGGGAGAGAGAAAATAAAAGTACGTTTAATTGTTTCAATTGAAATGATGATAATCGGGCGATTTGCGTAAATTCGCTGCGGCTGCGGAGAGCGTCATCTGTTTGTGTGTGTCGATGATGATGATGATGATGGTAACAATAAAATCGTCCCACCCCACACACTAATCGGCTAATTAGTTCGATCTGGTAACCCAAAAGACTGGATGAACCGATTTTGTTGTTCTGTCCCCAGGTTATGGTGACGCTACCCTCCGATTGGTTCAGGGCGTGCGGTCTGCTGGGCGGACCCGGAAGCGTAACNGCCTCAGGCGCCTTGAAAAAGTTTATGTTCGGATTCTTGGGATTTTCGACGCGCAGGTGACCAGTCCAAGTGGCCTTGCCGCTCCTCGAGGAAGCCACGCACGTGTAAATACCGGAATCATCTTTTCGCAGTTTGATAATCTCGAGATGACCCGATTTTGTTAAATTAACTTTTTCAGATGCTTGCACCGGGATGCCCTCCTTGTACCAAGAGATGATAGGTTCTGGATTACCTGTTGCTTCGCAATGGAAAACGGCTATGGAGTTTATGGGAAGGGTTTGGTTACTGGGCCACGTAGCTATCACTGGTGGCGGTCGGTTCTCTTTTGACGAGACCGTTAATCTGGTTCTCGTAGAAACCGAACCTGCCGCGTTCACCGCCGAGCATACTATCACCGTTCCAGAATTCTGTATGTGGGCGTTCTTCAGGATCAAAGTGGAGTGACCCTCGGTGTTGGTGAAGGCCTCGTAATTGCTGCTGGAGTGCCAGGGAATATCAAGGCACGATCTCCTTCGAACGTCCAGAAGATGAAGGGTTTAGGACTGCCATGTGCGTTGCAGTGGAAGGACACCTCCTGACCGACCTCCACCGTTTGAGCCAGTGGGCGGGTACTGAATGTGGGTGGAGCGTAAACGGTGAGCGTGGCCGACGCCGTCAACGCCCCGGCTGGATTATCCGCCTCGCAAATGTACTTTCCCTGATCCGACAAGGTGACTCGTTCCAGACGCAAGCTGCGATCCTCGAGAACTCGAACCCTACCCAGAGGCATAGTGCCGCCGGGAGCGCTCCGCCTCCAAAGCACGTCCGGCAACGGATCTCCGCCCACTCCGCACGAAAATTCTACGGTGCTCCCGACCAGTGCCATCAGATCATCCGGAGGTCGTATCAGGTACGGCTTAACTGAAAGCACAACAAATACAAATCGTAATAGTTAAAATCAATGCTAGTGAATGAATTAACTAACCGTGAACTTTTAGGAGGGCCACCGCGGATTCCCTGATTCCGGCAACGTTCCTGGCGACGCACTGGATACCTCCCATCGTCGGCATTACGTGCATCCGTAATGGCTAAACTACCTCCATCGACGATCTTGTATCTTCCTTCAATGTCCAAAGTATGTCCATCCTTGCGCCACGTGATCTGCGGTTCCGGTGTGCCGCGCGGCGGACCGCACTCCAAGATCACGTCGTCGCCGGCAGCAACTCGCGCACTCTGCGGTTCTATACGGAAATCTTCGCGCAAAACTGAAAAAAAAAACAACGTTCGTTATAATCCGGTTGTTATAAAATTTGATTCACGTAACTTTAATAGGAACAGATTTCGAAGCTCGTTAATATCATTGTTGTAAGTTATTTACGAGCGGCGCAATTACACAACCCTTTTCGTTAATAGT